ACGCTATTACTCAGCGCCATCAATTGGAGAACACAAGAGGTGACAGTTCTAGTCTCCTATACAGCAACTTGGACATTTAAGTAAAGGATTTTTTAAATTTTCTTCTCTAACTTCAAAATCCTACTGGAAATTCATCATTCTAAGCTTATGTGTTGTCTGCGTAGAACAGTTTATCTGTTTTGTTTGTTTGTTTTTGAGACAGAGTCTCACTCCGTCACCTAGGCTGGAGTGTAATAATGTAATCTTGGCTCACTGTAACCTCTGCCTCCTGGGTTCAAGCAATTCTTCTGTCTCAGCCTCCAGAGTAGCTAGGATTACAGGTGTGGATCATTACACTCAGCTAATTTTTGTATTTTTAGTAGAGATGGGGTTTTGCCATGTTGGTCAGGCTGGTCTTGAACTCCTGACCTCAGATGATACACTCGCGTCAGCCTCCCAAAGTGCTGGGATTACTGGCATGAGCCACCGTACCCAGCCCAGTTAATCTTTTAATTCAAAAATATATAAATGTTACTCTTGACCTCCAAACCAATGTTCTGCTGACAATCTTAATAACAATCCCCATTCTAAAATCCTGGATTGGCATGAAGGCTTATTTTGATATAGAATTACTTAGAAATCTGTTTGGTTCTGAGCCATTGCAACTGACATTACATCCATGCCCACTGACTGCATGATCTTGTTAGGGCCTGCAATTGCTTATAGTTTATTTATGGTCTTGATTTCACAGCAAAATTAAAGTGACTCTTCCAGATGTTTGGGTTTTTAGACGCCATGTAAATGGGTTTCTATGTTGGAAAATTTTGATTACGTTTGGTTCTCTCCTCCTTAACCACCTTTGTGGTCCATCTTCTACTGGAGAGCGCAGTAAAGCCCTCCCAGAGCATGAAATGGACTTAAGGCATCTGCAATGGAAGAAGAAAGGGAAGAAAACACGCTCCCTCCTTGACGACCCGAGGCTGAGTGAGAATTACATCCAAGCAGGACAAGGTATGCATTCCAAACCGCAATCGTTCAGAAATGGAATCGCATTTCTATTTTTGCTGTTTCAGCAAGGTCAACAGTAAATCATCTCATGAACTTGCTAGTAATGAAACTTTTTAAAAATTGCATATGGGTAAATACTGCTGTCTTATCACTTTTCTTCTCTTTCAAATAAACACAAATAGGAAATCCTGTTTCCGGTCTGTTGTCACGCATTCCCCAAGACCAAGCAGAGTCCTTTACCTGGTGCCAGACCCTCTGTGAAAAGATGAGGGCTCAGGATGAAAGTTAGCTGCAGTCTGAGAGGTGAAACGGCAGTGTGGGATTGTGCGGTGCCTAAAGACTGCAAAAAGCAGTGAAGGGAACTCCCCCTGAAGAAAGAAAAATAACGGCAGGTTGAATTGAGAAGATCCCGATGCTCTTCGTGACCAGGGGCCCTTACACAGCCTCTCAAGTCTCCTAGCTTCCTCATCTCTTGACGGTGGAGACAACAATACGTTTAATGAAGCCATGCGTGTGAACTCAGGAGAGCATTAGGGACTGGCAGTAAGAGAAGCCTGGGAAGGATTGGTAACGTGACTTCAAAATTCTACGTGTGAGCAAAATACAATTTAGTCAACTTGGAAATGAATGCTTTGGTTCTAACCCGAAACTTCTGGGAAAGTGGTCACAGGCAATATTGTTCCTCTCTGCATTGAAAGAAAACATCTGGGTGTGGGCTTACTGATCAGCCCGGCAAAATTCATATAACTACAACCATGATAAAGTCATCATGCCTGTTTGCTCTTTGAAGAACAGAATTATGTGTAATCAAAACCATTTAGACAGAGATCATACCCTCATTTCAGTCATTCACAGAAATTAAAAGAAAAATGGGCACTGTGTGGCCATTCAATGCACCCACTTCTGCAAGGAAGGAATTGACCTGAATCCACATTAGGGCACATTGGACGCACTTAAGAATGCCACTGTTGACTGGAGGTGAGGGGTCTGAGCAGTAACCACGAGGCTGTGCAGAGCCTTCAGAGAGTCACAAGGAGAGACACGGAGGGCCTCACGGTGCCATTGCTGAAGAATGACTTTGGTGGAAAGAATAGAGATCATCGCCAGGCAAAGCGGACTCTCTGAGTCTTGAACATGAAGTGGCAGAGGTGAACACACCGGCAAGACCATCCACGTCACCATTTGTCACAGGAAAGATGAATGCATGGTCCTAGGAAGCCAGGTGTGGGGACACATTTCCCTGCTTATAGAGGAGAAGAAATGATGGAGTGGAAGGAAGCGGAGAGGCAGGTTTTCCCCCTTGTTCTGTAGTCCCCAGTGGCCTCCTCCCACCAGGCACACATACACACCAAGAGCCAAGTGCCGTGCTCTGAGGATCCGCGCCAGGTGAAATACTGCAAAGCCGAATCCACACACACCTTAACAACACAATACTACATACATTAATGATTATAGTGCCAATTGATAAAACTGTCTGATATGGACCCATGGCATGCGCACCTGGAGAACATATACTAGGCCTTATCTTTAATCCCTTTAATCCTCAGGACATGCTTGAAAGATAATATTTATTCTCATTTTACAGATAAGGGGACTGAAGATTATGAAATTAAGTAACTCTTCTAAAGTCACACATCCAGCAAGACCCCAAGCCGTGGGTGACCATCCACCACATGGACTGATGCTGCCTCTCTGATATTAAAGTAGGTAGGATGCGAATGGTTGGCAGAGAAGGTCATTCTTTGAACGAGGGCCTCTGGAAACAAAAGCGATTTCCAAAAACCAGAAGGCGATTTGAAAAGAGATCAGCAGCACTGAAAAATCCTGCACACCTGGCATTTCCCAGTGACCAGTCAAGCCTCAAGCCTGCCTCTGTGACCTTGTAACTCTGATTTTCCCGACTGGGGGTGGGGTGAGGAGAAGTGTGCCAAAATGTGTTCTGCTTTAAACTTTTCTCTGGGATAGAGATTTTATTTGCAAATGTAAGTTGCCGGCAAAGTGTTCTTGGGGAATGCAGCCAACAGGGCAAAGCCCGCGTTATGTGTCAGCTCCTGCACAGAGACCCCACGCAGTGGGCCTCACTGCAACCCAAGACATCCTTGGGGCAACCTTAAGGAGGCCAAGGGTGAGAGGGTTCAAGTGAACAGTTAGATGAGAACGAGGAGAGAATATAAGAAAACCTGCTGAGTCTTAAACTGTTCTCATTACTAACCACCTTGATTCTGCTCTTGGTCGGGGGGAGGGCAACAGGCCCGCCCCCGCCCCCACACACCCAGGGCAGCAGGCAGAGGGCAGTCTCCTTTTCCCGCTCTCAGAAACTGCAAATTCGTGGCTACAGTTCTGGAAGAAACTGCTATGATTTCCTTTGGAGAATGAGTCTTAGCTCCTCCGTCTCCTTTAGTGTGCTTTGAATGTGTGTGTGGGGTCTGTCTGTGAGTGTCTACGTGTGTGCATGTATTTATGTCTAGATGCATGCACAGATGTGCATATCCATGAAAACCTCCAGTAAGTGTCCTCTGAGGGTCCCCTCTGGGGAGATAAAGGATCTTCAGGGAAAGCCTGAGCGTGTGAAAACCTCCTTGGAGCCCCAGTTAGCAGTTTCCAATCTACAAGTCATTTGCGAGACGCAAGGCAGGGACCCAGGGCCGCTGCAGAAGAATTCTAGGTATGAGCAATGAACTCACAATCCACCCTTCACATTGCTAACACGCAGAAGAAAGAAAACGAAAAAAAAAAAGTCAAAGAAGAAGAAAAGGTGCCCACATAACTGTTTTAAATTTGCTGAAAAGCAGAACCGACCACAGCTTATTTCAACCATCTTTATTTTCAATACAATAAACCCCTTTAGGACAAGTCCCCGGACACTTAAAAGCCGCCTCTCCACCAGAGGCGTCCTCGCTACCTTCGTGTTTTCTCACGCACTTGTTCAAAAACACATTTAAGTGGAATGTTTTCGTTTCTGGCGATTGCATTAATTATGGGTTTGCAAACCCTGCAAGCCCACGAGGTCTGCTGGAGATGGGGGCTGCAGACACCGGCCGGGCCCAGCGGCCGCCGCGGGTTGGCTTGGCCGGCGGGGTCTTGGCTAGGCCCCCACAATGGCTCAGCGTTTGGCACCGCGCGTCTTGGCCGGGCCAAGGCTGTAGCAGAGAAGTTGCAGCTCAGAAAGAAAAACACACAGCGGTCAACCGCGGTGACCTCGCGCTCAGGAGCGCAGCATCCTTGCCACGAGGAAGAGCCCAGAGGCCCGCAGAGCCGGGAGCCGCTGCCTCCCTGCAGTTCTGTCCCACACGGGAAGAAGCGCTTCTCTAATGACACTTAGGCCAGAGAAGAATCATCGTTCACGTCATCTGCTTCTTCCCAGACTAACTTAAGAGGGTCTCTGAGGGTCAGACCCACGAAGGGAGCCCGCGACTGGCAGCCCCTTCACCCCGCAAAGAGGCCCGGAGTTCGCGCGGCGCACAAGCACAAATTGGTCGGAGGACGCGCTGCGGGCCGGTCCCCGTGGGCGAGGTGGGCGCCCCGGTCCCAGTCCCAGTCCGGGCGGGTCGGCCTTGGCCTGGGGACAGTCCGCGGGGCGGCGCCGGCGCTCCCAGACCTGGTTCCCTGCAGGCTCCGGCCCAGCAGTGAGTGCGCGAGCGCCGGACACAGGAGAGCCCCGCAGCTCGCCCTCGTCCGGGGCCTGCAGGACTCCAGGGTCTCCTTACAGCCGGGCCAGAGCCCCGGGCACGGGGGTTCCGGCAGGACGGACCCGTAGAACTCGTCGCAGCCGCGACAGCGTCCCCTGTGGCAGCGTCCCCCGAAGCCCGTCCCAGCCCGGTCCCAGGCGCGCACTCCGCGGTCCTACCCGCTCCAGCCCCGCAGGCGAGCGGAGGCTCCACGACCCCCAGGGCCACCTGCTCCCCGCGCCCGGGCGCCTGGGCCTGAAGAGGAGCGCAGGGACCCGGCCCCGGCTGGCGGCAGGAGGCGGCACTGGCACCGCGTGAGCGCCAGGTCCCCGGGCTCCGGCTTACCGTGAGCGCCGAGAACTTCTGCGCGGGCGCTGGCGGGAGCAGCCCGGCGAGCAGCGGCAGCCAGCACAGCTGGGGGAGCAGCATGGTGGGTGGCGGGGGCGGTGGGGGTGGCGGGGGCGGAAGGTCGGCCGCGCCCTGCGCCCTGGCACTGCAGCCGGGAGAGCCCCGTGGGTGAGCGCGGCGCGTGGAGGGGGCGGCTCCGCAGTCTCTCCCCACCGCTCCCGGGCCTGGCTGAGCAGCTCCCCTGCAGGCACCCAGCGGTCCTCCGCGTCCTCGGCTGCCGCCCTCGCTCCTGTCAAATACCCCGGCGCTTCCCGGATCCTCCCCTCCCGCCCGCTCCCTCCCTCCCTCGCTCCCCTCTCCTCCCACCCCTCTCCTCCCACAGCCCCACCTCCCAGCGCCCGCCGCCGCGCCCGCTCGGCTCCGATACCCGCTTAGGCCCAGAGGCCGCCCTGGCGCGGGTCTGCGGGGTGAGAGGTGGAGCGGGGACCACCAGGGCTGCGCGGTTGCCTGTCGGGACTGTCGCCGTGTCTCCTTCCCCGCGCGCCCACACACGCGCACACCCAGGCACACACACACACACACAGACGCACATCACACGCACTCACACCCAGGCACACGCGCACCCTCACACCCGCGCGCGCGCACCCTCGGGGGGCTTCCAAGCACAACCACGGGACGCGCCGCGCCCTCCTCCCGCCACAGGGTCCAGACTTGGTCTGCGCAGGATCAGCCTGGCGGGGCCTTTTCATCCACAAGGGTTAACATCAAGTCTTAGCCAATCCCCAAACTCGGGGTTCTCCTTGACCACCGCTGTCTAAGGCCCCCTGATCCCGCCCAGAACATCGCCCCTGAGAGGCGCTGATGAATCAGCTGCGCACCAACACAGGCAGCTGGGAACACGCGTACAGAAGAGACTGGCCCAGGGCAGCAGCCTTTGGCATCTTTACACGGGGTTATACACTGTAGGGATGGGGAATTTGGGTCCTGAAGATCCCGGGTCTGACCTGAGCTGTGGCCTTGGTCCTCTGCAAATGGGGGGAGAATGTGGTTGGGTTCATTCACAGACAGATGTGGCTGTTTTTAAACAGCTCTGTCGAAGCATTTCAGGTGTTTATGCTGGGAGCACAGGGCTTGTGGGGGTTGTAAACTCGCCCGTGGAGACTGCGTTGGAAACCAAGAAAATGTTGCACACCCAGACTCTGGGTAATATCCATTGCAGACAGCATTGCTGAAATAGTTTTGCCTTGGCTTATAACTTTACAGGAAAAAGCCCTAATTCTGTCTCATACAGAAAGCCAGAAGAGGGAAGATTTGTTCAAGAACAATGAATCAATTGACTTGTCAGGGGCATTGGGAAAAGAACAAGACATAGCAAATCCAAATCCGACATTTCACCCAGTGTCTAGTCCGCTGCTTTGGCGATGGGCTTTGCGGGAGGGGGCTGTATCAGCAAATTCTGGGGCTGGCTGCTGAGACAAAGTCAATGCCGTTGCAGCCATCCCCAGACATTTTCATCAGGAAAGTGATGTCCTTCGGGCCACGGGAAGGCGGGAGAGAAATGTACCTTTTCCTGAAGGAGGGCTCCTCTCAGAACTCTCCTTCAAATTCCAAAGCCCAGAGAATCTATTAAGTACTTAAACACATTCCTCCTGGTTTAAGGACTTAGAAGGAAATTATAATAAAACTCTTGAGGGACGTCTGTTGGGTCCAGAAAAACAGGTGAGCAGAGCAGCTGCAAATGATTAAGTAAATAAGAGTCACTGTTAGGAAACTGCAGTGAAAATTAAAAAGAAAATAAACACAACATGCCACGAACTCATTCTAAGATTATCCAAAGAATAAAATTTACACTCAAAGCTGACATACTTCAAGAAGTGTTTGCTGCTAAAGAACCTGTTTTTCACTTTCCACTTTGAGAGTACTGCTCACCAGAACTCAGAAGTTTGAAAGCATGTTCATTTATCCACCCTCATCCCCTGCAAGAATGGCAGACAAGAAGTAGACTGAATTATTCCCATTTTACAGATGAGAAACACGAGTCAAAGAGGCCACATGTCTTAGCCAGATCTTCTAAGCAACAAAATCAGAAACAGAATGCAGATGTTAAAACTCACAATACTGGCAAATCCACCCCACTTCCTCTGGCAATATGGAGAATAGAAGAAATTTGTTGGCCCTCCATGCCTTGTACTCGAGAATCTCAACACGTCTTTCACGTAGCAACTCCAGAATCCTCTGGGAGCTCTAGGAAGATAAATGCAATGCATTTGTCCAAAACTCAGACAGATGAGGCAGGCTAGAGCAAACCCCTTTCAAATCTGGAGGAGCTCATGTGTCCTGAATGCCAAACTTTAGTTTCTCAAAATCCTAGAAATGGTGTTTGGAGAGATAATCAGTTTCCATTTTTATGGAGAACAACAATACATTTATTTAAAACACTGGGAAGTAGTTATGTCTGTCTTTTATTTCTAAGTCTTCAAGAAAGTTATTACTGGCAGGAATGCAGAGCGCTGTCATGTTAGAAAGGATATAAAAGTAGTTCACTTAGTTCAAAGTTGAGACAGGAAGTGATCAGCTCTGTGCTTTCCAAAGAGTTCCTACAGGCTGCAGGAAGAAGTTCCCTTCTCTTGGAATGTAGGTGTGTGTGTTTTTAATTAAAAGGTGATGCAGGACCCATTCTGAAATGTGGCTTATGCATTCAGAATTTAAATGTCTGTCACTGATGAAGGTTACAATAAAGAACAGCAAGAGAAACAAATTACTTAGCACTCCAGCTATGCTCACATGTCTAAACTAACTTTAGCTCTTAGGCCATTAGCAAAATGCTTTATCATGAGTATTGGCTTCCTTTTTATTTATTTTTCTATGCTAAAACTGCAAAAGGATTTTAGTTTTGTTATAGACATGATATAATTTAGTTATTATTTCTAGCTAATGCATGTTTAACCAGAAAACTTTTGTCAGCTATTTTCCCATCTCAATGTGCAAAGCGTAAGGTTAGTCAAATATCTCTTTGTTGATGCAGGGACTTCCAAAACTTCCCTCTGCCATTACTGTGAGTATTGTCTGAGGCTGAGCACAGGTCACTCTTCATACCCTACATCATCAGTCACCTGCCAGTCATTTGTTTTATTAATGTTTTCTCCTACTTTCTACTTAATATGGGACCAGGACTGTTCACCTGGACTTTCTTAGGTAAGTTCTGTGTGATTTTCCTTTTAGACTACCCCCAGGCTGGACCCAAGAATCTCTAGAGTCCCAGGTGTCTGGAGTCTCCGTGCTCTTCTTGGCTTGTTCATTCTGATGAACGGCATCTTCCCGTTATTCCCTTCGACCATGGAAAAATGATGCATGATCCCCATGTCAATCCCAGATTTTTAGCCGAAGCTCTGCAGCTCCACAAACCTGTGAGCCATACAGAAAGGAAACCTCATCAGCAGAGTTGACAGAATCAGAAGAGAGCACCGCCGAGGCTCACCCTCACCACAGCTGCAGGACGAGGCCGGCGTTGACACACCACGGTGAAAAGACAGTGGACTTGTGTGTTTGATCCTCAAGCCTGACTCAATGGCTTTCTTCCTATTTTGATAGATTTAAATAATGGAGAATTTGGGCTTTGTGCTCAATAAAATCATGTAAACAAGATTCTTCCTTCTTAAGATGCCTGAGGACAATTTTTATGATAATAGTTTTCAAGCACTTTGTGGAAATTTTTTTAAAAATAATTTCACCTTTTATTTTAGACTCGGGGGTACACAGGCAAGTTTGTGACATGGACATACTATGTGATGCTGAGGTTTGGGCTATGAGAGACCCAGAGAGTGAGAGCAGCATCCAAGAGGCAGTTTTTCAGCCCTCGTTCCCCACCACCCTCTCGAGCAGGCCCTGGTGTCTGTGGTTCCTTCTTTATCTCCATGTGTACCCAGTGTCCAGCTCTTACAGGAGTGAGGCCATGCAGTGTGTGCGTGTCTGCTCCTCCATTAATTCGCTTAGGCTCATGGCCTCCGGCTGCATCTGTGTTGCTGCAGAGGACATGCTTCCATTCTTTCATGGCTATGTCGTATACCGTGGTGTCTAGGTACCACATCTTCTTGTCCAGTCCACTACTGCTGAGCACCTAGATTTACCCCATGTCTTTGCAATTGTGCGTAGTGATACAATGAGCATACAAGTGCATGTGTCTTTATTTGTAGAATGATTTATTTTCCTTCGGATACATACCCAGTAATGGGATTCCTGGGTTGAATAGGAGTTCTATTTTTAGTTCTTTGAGAAATCCCCAAATTTCTTTGCACAGTAGCTGACATAATTTACATCCCCACCCACAGTGTATAAATATCCCATTTTCTCTGCTGTCTCAACAGGATCTGTTGCTTTTTTGACTTTTTAATGATAGCCATTCTGACTGGTGGGACACAGTATCTCATTGTGCTTTTGATTTGCATTTCTCTGATGATCAGTGATGCTGAGCATTTTTTCATGTTTGTTGGCTTATTGCATGTCTTCTTTTGAGAACTGTCTGTTCATGTCCTTTGCCCACTTTTTAGTGGGTTTTTTTTTGTTTGTTTTTTTGTTTGTTTGCTTATTGAGTAGAGTTGTTTCTGTGCCTTCAGATTCTGGATATTAGACCTTTGTCAGATGCATAGTTTGCAAATATTTTCTCCCATTCTGTGAGTTATCTGTCCACTCTGTTGATAGTTTCTTTTGCTGTGCAGAAGCTCTTTAATTAGGTCTGACTTGTCAATCCTTGTTTTTGTTGCAATTGCTTTTGAGGACTTAGTAATACATTCTCTGCCAAGACTGGTGTCCAGGATGGTGTTTCCTACATTTTCTCCTAGGATTTTTATAGTTTGAGGTCTTTCATTTAAATATTGAATTCATCTTGCGTTAATTTTTGTATATGTGAGAGGTCAGGGTCCAGTTTTAATCTTCTACACATGGCCAGCCAGCTATTTCCAACACGACTTCTTGAATAGGGAATCCTCTCTCCATTGCTTATTTTTGTCGACTTTGTTGAAGATCAGATGGTTGCAGGTATGTGGCTTTATTCCTGGGTCCTCTATTTTGTACCTTGGTCTATGTGTTGTTTTTGTGATGGAACCACACTATTTGGGTTACTGTAGCCTTATAGTATAGTTGGAAGTCAGGTAATATGATTCCTCCACTTTTATGGAAATTTTTAATAAATGGTTGGATTGTGCTGGGTGTTTTATAAACATTATCTAATTAACTTTCATGGAAACTGTACAAAATGGTTATTGTACAGATGACTAATAAGTTCTTGGGAGATTACAGA